TCTTTGTTGCTCTTTTTTTTTTTTTTTTTTTTTTATGCCTTCTTCTTCAATATTCCTTAATTATTTTTTTCCCAAACACATAACACTTTCTGTCAAAGAACTTATTCCTTTTCACTAGTAATTTAAAAATTGATACAACTCCATCCATATAAATCTTCAATAATGAAAATTCTTGCTAATTTTCATCGCGAAGACCCAAAACTTATTCGGACTCCTCCTCTTTCAATCACGAGGAAAGCTTGAAATGATGGATTTAATTTTTCTACAGAATGACATATACAATCTTGAAAGTTGAACTACACAGGTCATAGAACACAATGTCCTAAAGTTTTGAATTGAAAGTTAAATATTAGGACATAGAAGAAACAACATATGCCTATTTTTTTTTTAAAGTTGTGACTAAATACTAAATAATTTATAAATGCAGGATAAAAATTAAGCAACAATCCAAAAAGTGGGAGTCAATTACTCAAATGGTCACTCAACTATCTCAAATTATCTCCTAAAGTCACTTTTCTTTCGTTTGTAACAACAAAGTCACTGAACTATGCCTATTGCACTCAGAAAGTCACTCAACTGGATTTTTCAAATTTTGGACCAAATACCTATTTTACCCTCTAAATTATAAATATTTATTTTCTTTTATTTTTTTAAAATTTTTTAATATTATAATTTTCCTTTTTTAATTTATATTATGAACTTACCTATAGAATAAATAAATATTATTTATAAATNTTAAAGGCTTCCGATACGAATGCCATTATAATATCATGCCGGAAAAAGCAGAAATTTTCTAGGGATCACTGTTCACGCCGGAAAAATCACTATAGCTCGCCGAAAAATTCCAAAGTTGTCGGAATCTGTCGGAAATAGTACTAATGGACTCGGAATTGCAAGGAGATGAAACTGTCCTGAAGAATTTTTTTCAAAATCTGACCGGAAGAGGTCACACGCGCCGGCGCGTGTGACAGACGCGCCGGCGCGTGTGACAGACGCGCCGCCGGAAGCAGATCTCCAACAGGCGCGTGACGGCGCGTGGGTGAGTATTTTCCGGTGAATTTTTCTGGGGTTTGGTCGGATCTCTCTTGGGAACCTTGTGGTGGTGTTGGATTTTGCACAACATTGATAATTAGTGACTTTGACGCAACCAGTCACTTAAGTTACCGGAAAATTGCACGGTGACTGAGTTCTTTCTTCCTGGATGTCGCTGGAATGACGCACAACGATCTCTTCTCACCGATGCTCTGATACCATGTGAGAATGCACGGGAGAAAAATATATTTATTGATTAATTATGACAATGATACAATGAGCCCTATATATATAATACATGTCCTACTCCTAATATATGAAAGGAAACATATTCATTACATTGTAGGTTGCTCCTCCTATAATACTTTGTGTCTTGCTAATAAAGATACTTGAAATAACTTAGTTTAAGTAGAAGTAGCATAATAGGTTTTAGGAATTAGTATTTTGAGTTTAATTACTTGTTGGCTTGTAATAGTTTTCCATAATTCCAAGGCCCAAAGAAAAATCTAACGCATTATTAGTTTTAAACTTACTAGATAAATATATTTTCCACATGTAAAATTTATTCAGTACGGTTCGGTATTGTTTCCGGTTTATTTTTATAAAATAAAAAACCTACCCTAATTATCGGTGCGATTATAGATTTATATAAAAACCTACGGTTTCTTAAAAACAAACCTAAAAATGGGTTCGGTGCGGTACGCTTTGGCCGATTTTTGAATATCCATTTACACCCCTAGGAGGGTTGGTTGGCCTTGCTTTAGAATCTTACGCGCCCACTTTTTCTTTACTAGATTTAGAGTACGCGCGTTGCGCGTGTACTTCATGCCAGTGAGTATAAGTTTTTAAAAAAAATACACAAATACTATTAACATATGTAATTGAGTTATAAATAAAATTGAAAAATCACAAGCTCTTGAAAATGATAAATATTGATAATATATGGCTAACTTAATAAAGAAAAAATTACGTACATCACATAAAATTATTCTAATGTCTTATCATGATTTTGGTATAGAAATTGTGCATTTGCTTTAGTTGCTCGACATCAGAATAATATGCTAACTTGTACTCAAATATATCTTGTAACAATATTATACTCTTTATGGCCTTAAAAAGTAATTTTTTTGCTCAAGTACATTATATGAATTTCATCTTATTCCTTACTGAAAATACAAAAAATAAAAAAAGACTCCATATTATTAGGTTTAACTATCATACGAACAATTTAATCGGATGGGTGTTGTTTAAACCCAACTACACGTGTTTTTAGAAAAAATAAAATAAAATGATTACCATAAAAAATTAAGGTAAAAAAATTAATATTTATTATTATCTTAATAAACATGAAGGTATCGTTATGTAATATAATTCTCAAAATGTATAAAATCTATTAAACATTTCCTGTACTGTGCATTCAGATAAATCATTATAAAAGTGTTTGCAATATCTATTTTTATACGCATATACATTTTATTGTTTTAACAATATTTAGTGATGGTATTTGAATTCAACTGACTGGATATTATCTCTCTTAATTTACGAATAATTTGCTGAAACATGATCATTTTAATTATTTGGATGGCTTTATCATGAGAATCTTACTATTAATATTGATATTTGTCATGAGTTCATAGTTATATTAGTAACTAAAGATAATCACGAGCCTAAAAACACACGAAGTATAAAATGACAACAAAAATCCTAAACCAGGAAATTCTTTTTTAGAATTTTAAGCTTTCAAAACTAAATTCAAAATAAAATACATAACTAATGGCGTTTGAATCTTTTGATTTAAAATTATAAACGTACTCTTTGTCCCTCAAGTGAGTTCCACACCCATCAAAGAATATATAATTCATATTATCTTAATATGAAAAGTATGTTAGTTTAAATGAGGAAATAATTTAAATAAGGCAAACTTTTATTATTTTTAAAGTCCAAAATATTAAGAGTTTTTATATATTTTTAATAAGGAAAGATTTCTAGTAAAATTAAATGACTATTTTTAGATATTAGTGGAATAATTAAATGACTATTCCTAAATATTAGGAAATTAATTAGAATGACTATTTTGCCCAATGTGAACTCTATTTTTAAAGGGCAGAAAAGACGAACGACATTTCGCTAAGGGCCTTCGTGCTTTTAATATAGTATAGATTTTAGATCTAAGTATACTGAAGCCCGGAAGACTTTTAGAAGGAGCACTCTCACTTATTCAGGACCAAATAGGTCTAAACTTTTCAACGGTTCTAGTCTTATGGATTAGGGGCTGAGACAAACCCAAAAATAACAGGCTCTAGATGGTTGTAATGTTTTTTACCGATATTAGTTAATATTTATAGCCAAATATGAAATAAATAAAATCTCGAATTCTATCCCGAGATTATAATCCTAATTCCTATAACCAAAACGACCCTTAAACATTAAATTTCAGAAGGCATTATATATTTAAAAGCTCAACTACTACCGATTGTTGAGTAACGGGAAATAGTTAAGTTTCCCCTTTAATTAATTCCTATAGGCAGGGCGCTATTGTACCTTAGTGTTTGCCAGTAAAACGGTACAATTAAATTTGTTACTTGATTTATAGACAAGCGAATTGTTTTGATTCAAAAATAATAAAGAAATAAGATTAAAAATGAGACTTAGCAATTGAAATTGAAGAAGATGACAAGCCTGGCCCCGAGCGCTATGTCTCCGAGAACAAAAATGAAAGAAATGGTAAAGAGCCAACACAATTGTTTAATTGAGAGCGAAAGTAAAATATAGCATATATTTTGCCCAGAATTTTCGTGTCTTACAATGGCGATATAGCCTATTATTTATAGCTATACATAGGGAAACAAGATCTTAGGATCAAGCCCCACCTAAATGATAATAAAAGAGTCATTGATGAATATGTAACGGCAAGCTATGAATGCAAATATTCTTTGCAACGGTTGCCCAATTAATGTTAGAGAATATTCTTTCATTGAATGCTATCCGATGGCAAATACTCGATCTGCTCCCGTTGACTATGCTCCCTTTGGGATTTACCCGATGTCAATTGTAGTTGTTGTTTTCGGTACTGGTTGTTACTTGACTCGCCTTTTACCTCTCTTCGGTTCCACGTGTCATGCTATTCATTCGGTCATTTATTATAATCAATTTTATCCCATACACTTAGATTATTGGCAAAAGGGATGTATCTACCATATATTCCAAACAACAAGGGAGCGGAAGTGCTGTTTTCCAAACCTAAAGGGATCTAAAAGTAATAATACTAACAACGAAGGAGCTTTGTTGCGGAAGCGATCTGGCCGACCGGAACTTGGAAGTTTAAAAAATTTGAAGTTGGTACATATATAGTAGACGTTGTGTAGAGAGAGAGAGAGGAAAATCCAAATCCAATGCGATGATGGGAAGCGAGTCAAATCCTACATGGGTTGGAAGGAAACCAATGAGAAGACTTGGTGGAATGTCTGATGCTCTTTCTATTGCTTCTGAACTCGGTTTCTCTCTTCCGACTCCTCCCAATTCCCAGGTCCACACTTTTTTCTTTTTAGTTGAGTCTTGTACTGCTGAATTTTTGTAGCAATATTCATATTTGAGATTTATTGATTGAAATTCAAAAACATTCCCGTTGTTTAGGAGGAGATCCAAAACTTATCCTCCACCACTGGTGAAAATGGTGATGATTTGATAAGGGTCTTGAAAGAACTCACTGCTGTTCAAAGGAAAATTGCTGATTTACAAGTCGAACTTCAAGGTCGAAAGGTGACATTGTTCAGATTCTTAAGAATTTCATCCTTTTTAAATTATCCAACACGATGTTCTACTAGTGAATGTGGTGTGAATTTATAGCACTTCGACTTTTCACTTGACCCTAATATTGCATATGTCCTATCCATTTCAGCAGGGCATGGTTACTTAACAGTTCAAAATAATTTGAAAATTTTACAACTTACACACCTAACTATTCGATATTGTCATCTATTTAGCTTTGGTAATTGAAAAATGTAGTCTTTTAGACGATATCATGAACTAACATAGTAATGTGTTACAACTTTAGGAGGACAAAAATGTTGCTCATCTGACACATGTCAGTGAAATGGAAAAGAAGATTGAAACATTGCAAAGGATTACTACTATTTTGAAGGACGTTATTCAGAATAAGGTAATTGACTTAATCTGAGTTTTAACTTCTATTTTCTGCCTAGTTACATTTGGTGATATTCAAATATTTCATCATGATCTTCTCTATCCACCTTTTTGAAACTAAACAAAATTCCCTACTGTCATGGGGAGGCATCAATCCTATTTGTGTCAAATGATTGATGTTCTTCCATTCGTCAATGCTTTTGTGTTTTCCAGAGGAGGGGGCATCACATGCAGCATGTGCACTTTCTGGACATAATTATTTAGGACCACCAGAATAAACACATTAAGACACATAGAAGAAAAACTAAATGAATTTCGAGATATGAATATGATTATTCAAGTGGTTGCTGATTTGTGTAGGTTTTGTTCACTGAATGAATTAAAGATGTATTAATGCAAGGATAATATGGAATAAAGAACTTTGTTTCTGCAGTATCTAGTATAGATGGTGAAAAGGAAGAATGATGTTGGTCTCTATATGCGTGTGTGATGCATTTTCTCTTTTCTTCGAGTACAGCTGCATCGTCTTTTTGTTTGTGGACAGCTGTATTCATGAAAGTATTGTGGATGTGCTTCTTTGTGCACTCTTGTATTCTTGCATGCAGGAGTCAGTGGTAGTGAGAGGAAAAGAAGAGGTTCGAGCCCTTTCCCGATCTCTGGTGATGCAAACTAGTTTCATGAGTTAACTGCTCTAGGTGCCCTAACGCACCTTAATCTTTTAGGTGGCGACTCTTCAAACTCCCTTACCCGTCCCAAAAGGAAGGGAGTTGTCTCAGAAATGTCGAAACCTGATTTCGCGAGAAAAGAAG